AATGATCTCTCCATTTCCTCAGCAATACTGAGAAAAACAGACTGAAGACAAGGCTATAAGGGCTGGGTATTTAAAGACATGATTACACAGCAGGGCTGAGGTTGGCTTTAATAGAGATAGAATTATTTTCTTTATTGGGGCTTAACTGTTATTCATCTAGAGCAATCTCATTTTCTTTTCAACTTTGAAAAACTTTTAAAATAATGCCATTTTCACTGATTGCATTTCCCTTGTGCATTAACAAATACTTGTGCAGATGTCACAAAAGTTCACATCCCTTCTTTTTCTTTCTTCATATTCCTTGCAATTATTATGTAAAGCCACACTTTGTTTATCTGCAAATGGTACTTGGTTAACCATATTTGCCTTAATGATACGCTAAAATTACTTCTGAAGAAAACTGTCAAGTTAACTATGGGAAATTGGTATAGAATGAGGTATCTCTTCCCTCTCATTAGAAAGATTAAGTAGAAGTAGAAGATTAAGATCCAATTCCATTTTTAAAGATTTTTAAATTTTCTGCCTATTAGAGAATAGTTTCAGAATAACTCAGTTCTGTTCTGTGCAATTTCATATCTTTGTAATAAAATAGTCATAATGAACAAAAATCGGTCATGGCTAGATTTAGTATCGTGGGATGATTTTCATGTTATCATAATTAATCATTTAAATCATGGCAGTGGCTTAATATCAGAAAGTTCTCATTAATATGCTCATGTCTCTTGAACTTCCCAAATTGTACACTCTCAAACAGACTCTTCCAGACTCTTGCTGTTGTTCTCAAAATTCTTTTCCATTATGATTATGTCTCAGGGTATTTAAGGCTGAAGGAGAACTTTTTTCTTAGAATGGGTTAGTATAGTTTCAATTTCCAAAATGCATTTTTCTTAATCCACAGTCTTCTTTTTATGCTTTACATGACAAAAGTATTCTTTTTAGGCTGTATATTTAATTACATATATCTTGATCCAAAGATTTAAAACAGATTTAAATGTAGGGATTTGAAAAACTATATATATTTTTGAGTGTGGCATATGATATTTCAAATATCCCTGTCTAGATAGAGATGAGCTCTTGTTGCTCATCAGCTTGGGGAGCCAGGTTTTCTCACGCATAAAAAAGAAATAGCAGCCTTTGAAAAATAAGAATAAAATATTTGTGAGGAATAATAATAAGTTAAAATTATTTAGCAGAGTACCTGGTAATATATATTTTAGTTAATTTGTATCTGGAGTTAATTAAGGAAAACTTAGTTCTTAGTTTCTTCAAAACCAATGACAGCTAGAAATTCACTATTACCATGATCATAAACCTGATTTTCTTGAATAAGATCAATGTGAAACTCTTATCAGAAGGTTAGGACAACCCTGTTATCCAAAGGCAAGGGAATTAAAAGCAAAAATGAACTACTGGGACCTTATGAAGATAAAAGGCTTCTGCACAGCAAAGGAAACAACCAACAAAACTAAAAGGCAACCAACGGAATGGCAAAAGATATTTGCAAATGACGTATCGGACAAAGGGCTAGTATCCAAAATCTATAAAGAGCTCACCAAACTCCACACCCGAAAAACAAATAACCCAGTGAAGAAATGGGCAGAAAACATGAATAGACACTTCTCTAAAGAAGACATCCGGATGGCCAACAGGCACATGAAAAGATGCTCAACGTCGCTCCTCATCAGGGAAATACAAATCAAAACCACACTCAGATATCACCTCACGCCAGTCAGAGTGGCCAAAATGAACAAATCAGGAGACTATAGATGCTGGAGAGGATGTGGAGAAACGGGAACCCTCTTGCACTGTTGGTGGGAATGCATAATTGGTGCAGCCACTCTGGAAAACAGTGTGGAGGTTCCTCAAAAAATTAAAAATAGACCTACCCTATGACCCAGCAATAGCACTGCTAGGAATTTACCCAAGGGATACAGGAGTACTGATGCATAGGGGCACTTGTACCCCAATGTTTATAGCAGCACCCTCAACAATAGCCAAATTATGGAAAGAGCCTAAATGTCCATCAATTGATGAATGGATAAAAAAAATGTGGTTTATATACACAACGGAGTACTACGTGGCAATGAGAAAGAATGAAATATGGCCCTTTGTAGCAACATGGATGGAACTGGAGAGTGTGATGCTAAGTGAAATAAGCCATACAGAGAAAGACAGATACCATATGGTTTCACTCTTATGTGGATCCTGAGAAACTTAACAGAAACCCATGGGGGAGGGGAAGGAAAAAAAAAAAAAAAAGAGGTTAGAGTGGGAGAGAGCCAAAGCATAAGAGACTGTTAAAAACTGAACAAACTGAGGGTTGATGGCGGGTGGGAGGGAGAGGAGGGTGGGTGATGGGTATTGAGGAGGGCACCTTTTGGGATGAGCACTGGGTGTTGTATGGGAACCAATTTGACAATAAACTTCATATATTGAAAAAAAAAAAAAAAGGCGAGGACAACCCTGTTATCTAATGCTCAGAAAGGAAATAAATGAACTACCTAAAGTTGCCCTAAAATTGCAGCTTGTGCTGACATTTGAACAAATGATTAACTTGGACCTAATCCCAAAATGATTTGAACAGTATAAATCCATGTTTTGTGAAGCTTTAAAACATTTATTAAAGCACATGAGCACAGGGGTTAGAAAAACATCCATTTACTGGCATGAATTCAGACCCCAGGAAAAACGAAGTCTTCTTTTAAGTAACATAAAGAGGTAAAAACAAATTAATCAAAACTAAGATAACACTGCTTTTTAAAAAATCAGATTTTGTTACCCATTTATGTTTGATAGGTTTCTATGAGAATTTGTGTCTGTGGCTTCATCTGAATGAATATGGTTCCCAAAATACATAATACTTATGTCCTCTTAACTATAAAAGTTTAAAAAATAAGAACAAACAATAAAACCAGGAGACATAGCTGAGAGAATTTGATGTGGTACTAAAATTTACTGATATGAATAAGCATATAATGATGATAATAGAGCATAAAATCATGCTTTGCAACCCTGGTTACTTACTGAAAATCCCCAGAAATACTTTTTAAAGCTATATAAATGCCTGAGCTCCAAACCCTGGGATTGTGATTTAAATTAGTCTCATATATGGCCAAAGTATTTATAATTTTTGAAAGCTGTGCAGGTGATTCTTTTGTTTTTCTTTTTTCTTTCTTTCTTTTTTTTTTTTTTTGAGAGAGAGTGCGAGAGAGCGTGAGAGAGCAAATGGGGATGGGGCAGAAAGAGAAGCCCAAGCAGGTTCTTCACTGTCAGCACAGAGCCCAACATGGGGCTCGATCTCACCAACTGTGAGATCATGACCTGAGTCAAGATCAAGAGTCAAGTGCTTAAGCCATTGAGCCACCCAGGCACCCCAGCCGTGCAGGTGATTCTTATGGGCACCAGGATTGAGAAGCACTAGATGAAGGCATTACTGGGTCCAATTGCCAGGGTTTCAATCTTGGCTCTGTTTTGTACTTGCTGTGTAATCCCGAGAAAATTGCTTGACCAATCCAAGATTTATTTTCAAGGATACATAAGTTATTACTCACTGCTTGACAAAATGCTGATTTTTTCCAAGGCTGTTGATTTAGGAAATATTTTCCTAAAGATATTTAATAGACAGTCCTTCACTTTGACCTGTCAATGTATATGTTTCCCAGGCTCTGAGTACTGGTGGGCATTCTCACTCAGTGAAAGCTAACATTAGAGACTGTGGTCATCGCTTTCCATTTTTAGTTGTTTGGGCAACACACCTATAATCTGTCCACTAATAAGCATGGTATCTTGGTAAATTGGGTGTTTTGCAACAAATGTTATTTAGTCTGCTAAGGCCTCACTTTCTGCATTTGTTTTTTTTTTATTATTTTAGAGAAAGAGTACATATGCATGTGCACAAGTGTGTGGAAGAGGGGCAAAGGGTGATGGAGAAAGAGAATCTCAAGCAGGCTCCATGCTCAGTGCACAGAGCCCAATGGGGAGTGGATCCCATGACCATGAGATCATGAGCATCCAAGATTTGGATGCTCAACCAACTGAGCCACCCAGGGGTCCTGAGGTTTTGCCATTTATTTTATATTTCAGAGAACTTAAATGCTAACATGGTAAGAATTCACCGCTCATGATTACAATGACCTATGTGTACCATTGCATCACTTTAAAGCTAACCTACAGCTAATTAGAAACTAAATGCTTAGGATCAGGTTGTTTTCTCTGTCTCTCTCTCACCTTCCTTTTAGAAATGTGATTAAAACAAAATAGTTCAAAGTGTACTGAAACAAGGTTAATGAAAATTTTAATTAAGTTCAATATCTGGGTTTAAATATATCTTTGACATGCAGAACTTTATCACTAAAATACACAATCTTGTAACGAATATGAATATGTGAATAAAATACTAGAAATCTGTATTTTTCATCAATATAGTCCAAATAATCCAACAGAAGATCATTTCAGGCTCAGAATTTTTTAACCTTGAGAGGGAATTTACTACTTATTTGAATAGATAATAATAATATGGAGTAAGTACATTAATAATCTTTTAAAATCTATTCTTTCTAAAGTAGTTGAAAAGACATTCCCCTTTTGCAATATACTTTATTATGAAATTTTTATTGATTATTAAATAATAAACCTTAACCTAAAAAAGGCAAGCAACCTCAACTTTTAGATCCCGCAACTTGAATCAAAACTCCAATGCATATACATGGACAAATTATTGAATCTTTCTAGGGCCACAATTTTCTCATCTGTAAAATAAAGGCATTTATGGTACTTATGTCACAGAGTTATTGAGAGTAAGTGAAATAGCCCATGTAAATATGTATGTACCTGGGGAGGAAAGGTGGCCCCCACCCCCATAATCCCCACCAAGATGTTCATGGCCTTTTATGGTACGCTCCCCTTTAGTGTGGGTGGGAACTGTAACTTGTTTCTCGCCCATGGAGTGTAGCAAAAGTAATGAGGGATGTGATTACATGCATATGATTATATTATATCAGATTATAGCATCCATCTTGAGAGGAGACTCTTCCTTTCTGGATTTGAGGAAGCAAACAGCCACACAGGGAAGGTGCACATCTCAAAGAACTGAATAGTTTGACCTCTGGCCAAACTATTAGGTATGTACAATTAGAATTGTTATGGATATCTAATAGGTTGAACTATTTATTATGAAATATTTCTGTATCTTTGATAATGCTTCCTGTCATTAGACTTTACATGTTCTCATCAGAAGTGAATATTCAGAGATTATAATTATAGGGAAAATTTAGGTTGTCAGTAATTTTTACTCGACATTTAATATTTAAATACATTCTATCCTAAAAAGCAATAACTCTACAATAAATCGTTGGGGGGGGGATAGGATCAGAATGGCATGAAAAAGATATCTCTAATCACTTGAAATTTTGTTTTTTTATTTTTTTATAGTCTTGAGGGTTTATTTATTTTTTGCATTTATCGTGCCATAAATTTATAGGGAATGGGTTCCAACAGCTCAGGCTCCTTTCCATTGGTTCTCCCAAAGTGTGCTTTTCGGGGTGGGGCAGGCTGGCACTTCAGTTGAACCCAAGTCTCTTTCTCTTTGGCTTCCTTCTTTTTCTGATCATTTTCCTTCACACATTTCAGGAAGCTCTCTTGGCTCTTTGAGTGCTCAATATGCTCAATAGGTATCTTCATTTTCTTGGCAAGAATCTTGCCCTTAACTTATTTGTTTACAAGAATGCCAACAAGAATTCTGGGTAACATTGTAGACTCTTCCAGTTTTGCTATGGCAACATTTGTGGGGCACTCCTTTCTGAAAAGTGCCCATTTCCTTGATGTCCACAATATCACTTTTCTTGTAGATTCACATGGATGTGGCCAAAGGATTAACTCCGTGTTTCTAAAAGGCCTAGAGAACATATAGCAGGTGCCTCTCCCCTTTCCCTTTGCGTTGGTCATTTTGGTGAATTACTGGAAATAGTGGTTCTAGCCAAAAGGTAATCATTTGAAAAACGTAAATGTATCCTAAAACAGGGTTTACAGACCTTGAAGTACTGTATAGTTTTAGTCTGCACTAAAAACTACACGAAACTTACATGTAAGTAGCGAGAAGTCACCTATTCAAACTGCTTGACTCTGAATCCTAGCAATGTCATTGAAACTGAAACACTTCCCAGGGCCACAGAGATAGCAGCCATTAGACTCCAACTCCTGCAGGACCCTTCCTCCTCCCCTTGTCACCTTCTTCCTGCTACCCCCTGCCTTCCCTCAGAAAAAAATCCAAAGAAGGAAAACATTTCTTCTGCATAGCAGTTGGAGAGGCATTGCTTATCTTCTCATAGTAGGGTTTTGTTTTGTTTTGTCCTGGTTCCAGGGGAAAAATGAATGGATATCTCTCCTTGGGAGAATAGACACATTGAGGGTAGCACACTAGTAGACTATCTGAAAGAATCAGTGTCTATCTCTGCGCATGAGGCTGAACATTTCCCTTCCCACAACCATCCCCCAACTGACTATCTCCATTCCACCTCAGTTCTCTGCAAAGCTTAGAGACCGATGGCTAAAGTTCTGTTTTGCTCCTGAATCTGCTTGATTCCTGGGGAATGATGGCAGAGTGAGTGGCGTGGGTTCACCCTTGTGGATAAAGTGGAATTTTGCAGTGCAAAGGAGCTTCAGACAAGAGCAGAAGGCAATGAAGAAGGAGGAAGTGGTGGACAAAGTACATGAACTTAAGGCTGAGTGTAAAGACAGAAGTTTAGAGGGGCGCCAGGTAGCTCAGTCGGTTAAGATGCCAACTTCAGCTCAGGTCATGACCTTGCAGTCCATGAGTTTGAGCCCCGTGTTGGGCTATGGGCTGACAGCTCAGAGCCTGGAGCCTGCTTCATATTCTGTGTCTCCTGCACTCTCTGCCCCTCCCCTGATCGTGCTCTGTCTCTTCGGCTCTCAAAAATAAATCAACATAAGAATTTTTTTTTTTAAAAAAAGACAGAAATAAAGAAAAGTGTTATGGGGCATACCCTTCTTTGAAAGGACACAAATATTTAAGTGCTTTCCTTCTTGAGATTCAAGGGAAAGTGCAAAATAGGATTTTAATTTCTTTCTCCTTAAGTTGTAACTCTTTTAAATTTACTCTAAACTAGGGGCACCTGGGTGGCTTGGTCAGTTGAGCATCCAACTTCTGCTCAGGCCATGATCTCAGGGTTTGTGAATTCGAGCCCTGCGTCGGGCTCTGTGCTGACAGCTCAGGGCCTGCAGCCTGCTTTGGATTCTGCGTTTCCCTCTCTCTCTGCTCTTCTCCCACTTGTGCCCTGTTTCTCTCTCAAAACATAAACATTAAAAAAAATTAATTAAAAAAATTTAATAATAAATTTACTCTACACCTTCCAGTAAGACATTTGCCTTTCTCTGTATTGACTGTGTTGGTTTTCAGACTGAAAGGAATAGTGTGGGAAGGAGGATGAGAACCTCACACGTGGATGACTGTTTCCTGGGAATTGGGAGAGATACCCTGCTCCATCAGAATCACTACAATTTGGAAATATTAGGTTACTACCCCAAATCACAGAGTTGGTGAGTAAAGAACTGGGACCCAAGCCCTTCTAAGTCCACTTCATACTTAACCTATCCATGTTTTTCACTTCGACGTGTTTTTATGGCTGAATTGTGTCCTCTCAAAATTCAGATGTTGAAATTCTAACCCCCAGTACCTGAGAACGTAACTTTGTGTGTAAATAGGTCCTTTAAAGAAGTAACTGAGGTAAAATAATGTCATATGGGGAGGCTTAATCCGATATGACCGGCGTCCTTATAAGAAGTAATTAGGGCACCGACACGCACAGGGGAAGGACCATGTAAAGACACTGGGAGAAAATGACCATCTTTAAACCAAGAAAAGAGACCTCAGAAGAAACTAACTCTCCCGACACTTTGATCTTGGATTTCTAGTCTCCAGATCTGTGAGGAAAACATTTCTGTTCATTTACCTAGTTTGTGGTATTTTATTGTGCCAGCCCTAGGAGATGAATACACATTTTATTTGGGATTACCACTTTTCGGAGACAGAATGAAGAAAACAAAAATATTATGTTGGTAAATTATTTAAAGAATAATATTTACAAAGAAAATTAAATGAAAAAAAATGAAACAAAAACACCAAAATTCAATATTTGCAATATTCACCCTAAGGAGAATTTTTCTAGTTGATTTAGAAATGTGTGGAAATCAGCATTGTAAGGGAAATGCTGAACTGATCTTTGACTATGCCAACTAAAATTGATTTTTCTCCTTTTTCTGTTCTGATTAATTTATGTTCCCTCAGAAAGAAAGTGATTTAGCACAAAGATGCATTTTAAACACACAGCAACAGCATTATAAATCTTGATTTAAGCTGGCTCTATAGAATACTCAGCCAGCACTCCAAGTCCTACTTTTACTGAAGCAAGAGGTGTATCAATAGCAGGGTCACACAATAAAATAGGATCTCAGAATATGTGTCCAGTTTGTTGGTTTTGTGGCTTTCACACAAACTTGGGGTGAAAATCAGTTTTTTAAACACTGTTAGATTATCGAACACAAAAGGTTTTATTAAAATATATTGCCGTGAAACACCTTTAGATGGACAGACAATGGGCTTTATTCTAGAAATATAACCCAATCCACCATAATCCTGGTTTTAAAAATATGAGTGTTCCAAAAGGACTGATGCGTTAGGAAACAAGTAGAACATAACACTAAATTCGTGTTTACTTATGTGCAATCTGAGTCCAGAAAAAACACTGGACAAACACAGAAAACGAGCTAGCTGAAGTAAAATGAGTAGAAATACACAAAAACAAGCACATACACATATCTCTAAACATCTACCAGCTAGCACCATTCACTGTGTGTTATAAACCACATCCATCCCCATCTGGCATTAGAATGTTCTGGCCAATTTCAGATAACCCTCTTCTACCACTTCACAGTAACTCACAAGCTATACGCCTTCCAATGCCCCCTTAAGACAAGCATACTTTGGGTTTTTTTCAGGGTAAAGTGATGAACTTACTATAATATCTATGGATTCCTTAACCATTTAGTGTATATAAAACTGTGCCGCCATTTTTCTTATGCTCCTTTTTATGTTTATATGTAACTGACAGTTTTTGAGTGTTATGCCCCTAGCCTCATTTTCCCCATAAGCTCTATAGTTTTTGTAGCATGATTTTGCATAGCGCAGTGAATTTTAAGAACATATATGTCATATTATAGCAGAAATAACCGGACCTTGAATAGACACTGATCCTGCTCTCTGTAAGTCTTTCTCCATTGTTTTGTGTCGGCTGGCCCAACCCTCTGGGAGTTTATTCTTTGTCCGTTATCCTCCTCAGCCAAATCTAAAGTAGATACTTGTGGTCTATGCCCTCCTTGAAGACCAACCAGGTTTATTAGCCTGTTTCCTGCCCAAGAGGATGATGTTGCATTGAAAAAAAACAAAAAAACAATCCAGTGTACCAGAGTAAGGGAATATGATAGTTTCAGCTATATTATAGATACACTCCTGAGGACAGGGAGGTATGTTCAATTAGAGAAAGGTGAGAAAAAGGTATCAGGCAGATATAAATATTAATTACTATAGTCACTAATGCATGAGTTTGTGTCCGACCCAGCATCAGAGCCAACTCTCACTATTTTTTCCTGAAGTTCTTTAAATCCTTGTGACTCTCCTAGAATGTATAAGGATTTATACAGGGAAAAATGTATAAATGCTAGTAGATACATATGTAAAGGCAACAGAATGTATAAGGATTTATACAGGGAAAAGACAGTCATGTGATAACGCAGGCAGTGATTGGAATGATGTATCTACACCAGAAGTTAGGAAAACACCATGAAGGATTCTCCCGTAGGTTTTAGAGACAGCATGAACCCGTCCACACTGTGATTTCAAACTTCTAGTTTCCAGAAATGTGAGACAATCAATTTCTGTTCCTTTAAGCCTCCCTTCCAAGCATCCCCATGGTACTTTGTTATGGCAGCCCTAGGAACCTAATACAACAGCCATTTTCATATTAAAGCGGGCATTGAAACCTGGCACAAGAGGGTTGTAGCAGACTTTGTTAGTTACCTAGCCACAGTCCATCTGGTTCCCATCACTTTTCTTCCTTGCTGAGAGAACACTGAATCAGATCAGACACTGAATATCCGTTGTGTACCTGGCCACTCCCAGTGATTCCATTTCCTTTACAAGTAATTTTTTTTTTCTTGCCATGAGTGCATTTGCAGTACTATCCAATGACTTGTCTGCTGTTGCATTAATCTGCTGTGGGGCTTCTGGGAAGGTTTACTTTGTCTTAGTAAGCAACATAACTCTTCTTTGCCTTTGGACATTATAATGTGACAACGATATCTAACATCTGTGCAGCTTCATCCAGTTTATACGGTTGTTCATGTTGTTCAGCTATGAAGGGAAAACCAAAAAGAATCACAGAGAGAATTCAACCTGGTTTCTGGACAGCCTTAACCACTGAATCCACCACACCTGTAACTGCCTTATTCTGGGCTTCCTGCTGTGCCACATAGTATCTCTGTTGTTTATTTTTTTATTTAAAAAAACATTTTTTTAATGTTTATTTATTTTTGAGACAAAGAGACAAAGCATGAATGGGGGAGGATCAGAGAGAGAGGGAGACACAGAATCTGAAGTAGGCTCCACACACAGCTCGATGCAGGGCTCAAACTCACAGACCATCGGATCATGACCTGAGCCGAAGTCAGAAGCTCAACCGACTGAGCCACCCAGGCGCCCCAGTATCTCTGTTGTTTAGTTGGATCTTCTGTTATGTGTTCCTGAAAGCATGCTAGTAGATACATATGTAAAGGCAACAGAAAGTGCCAGATTTTCCGTGTTCTCATTCTACTGTTCACAGGCAGGCAGTGCCTAGGGGCCGTCTTTCACTGGTGCTCTGCAATTCCAGAGAGTGGCTGTGTTTTCTGCTAGAGGATGCCAGTTGGCTTATAGAAATCAAAATTTCCCCATTTCAGATTATTTATTTTATGCAAAGTGTACTGGCAAGATTTTTATATTATTTGGTAGAAGGAGCAGCACAGGAAATAATATATTTGGCTTATAACAAATGAGAACATGAAAATACTTAAGGTTTTTCAACAGTTTCTATTCTAGAAACTCCCTTTGTAACCTATAATGGTTTCTGACAATCATTCTCTCTCTATTCTTCAAATCCTTTCCTGATTGCCCACATGATTCTAAACCTAAATACTATAAAAATATCAGTTTGGGGAAAGATCAAAACTTCATTTGACCCCACCATTCGATATATGATTCTCTCTGCAATATCATTACTGAAACCATTTGGCCTTTTTATTTCCCTACCAGTGACAGGAAACACTTCAATTTGGGGAAGCCTCCCTATCTTCAGAGAGTTTTGATATATAAAAAGTTCTCTTTTCAAAGTGAAAATACCTCTTCTTGGATATTTTCTAAGTGGTCTTAATTCTACCCACTGGCACCAGAGAAAAGTTTAATCCCTCTTGCATGTGATAGCCCTTATTGTTTGAAGACAGCCACCTAATGAGTCAGTATCTTTTCCCCATTGGACCAATTCTTATCTACAGATAAAAACAAGTCTCCATTCTTCCAATTGCTTTATGTAAAATCTGCAAATTACTAAGACAACAGGTGTTAATGGAACTGCCCTGAGCTAATCAGAAATATAGTATATGGTCATATTATTCATAGAATACAGGACCCAGTTAAAAATTTTCCATTTATTACATTTCTCTGAACTCAAACCAGTTTAAAGTAAATTACATTACAAAGAATGACCACCACCACACACACACACACAGACACACACACTTCACTACTATCCTTCCAATGCAGTTGATTAGGGCCATCCTTTTCTTTAGTCATTATAATTTTATTAATGCATTGTAATGTTCATTGGAGCTCTTAACTATACTCTCTGCAGCTAAGCTCTCAGGCTCTACGCGAATATTTCTATTATGCTCACATTATCTCCATAACATATCATCTTGATGGCTTTGGCCCATAGTTCCAACTATTTATTACTTTTTGGATCGTGTGCCAAACACCCACACATTTACAATCTCACATGGTTTTGTTATTTTCCTAACTTTCATATACATCATATACCTAACTTTCATATACATACACTGTATACATATACAGTGGAGCCAATGTGAGCCTCTTTATTGGTTTTATCACCCAACTTAAGTTGGCCCTCTCCTCCAAATGGAAAAATTGCATCTTTGTAATTGACATTGACATTATCTAGTTGACATTACCCAGTTGACATTATCTAGAATTGCCTTTAAATTCCAGGAAGGTTTGAATGATGCCAGTGAGATATGAGGCAGATGGTGGGGGATTGGCAGGAAAGAATGTATCTCAGGTTGTCATCTGACCATGTTGGAATCTGTTGAGCCCTTCTCATGCTCATGACAACTTAGGTCTTGTAACATGCAGGTCCTGCCATATTATACTTTGTTCCCTTCTAAAAGTTCCCTTCAGATCCACTTCTTTTTCTGTGACACACTGGACCCTGCAC